GCTGTTGAAGTTGTGCAATATCACTGCTAGACTTATGGATGTCGTCTATGTAAACAAATACACCATTTAAGCCTCCATCAAACGTTGGAAATTTTGTGCGGCATTGCCGAGACCAAACCGCATTTTGGAGTTCTCGAAATGCCAAAATGGGTGGTAACGACAATTGTTCAGTTGTGCACTGGGTGTACGGGTGTCTGGTAATAGACTAATTTGAGGCCTTTCTTCGACACCAGACCGGTATCCTCTTCCGCGAGGCACAGACTTTGCCTTAGCCTTAAAAAGTAAAACCATTTTCTCAAAGAGGGTCACCCGAGGCTCAAATGTTGTATCCGTTTATATAGACGACATCCTCATCGCCAGCAATGATATTGCCCAACTTCAACAGCATTTGATGAATATGATTGAAAAACTAACCTCTCACAATAATTCCTGAGAAGTGCATTTTTAGCGCATTCACATTGAATTTCCTCGATCACCACATTTATCAGCACGGAATGCTTCCATGTCAAGAGACAATAAGATGGATGAGAAATTTTCCTTTTCCACCCACTATTGAATCCTTACGTGCTTTACTCGGCATAGTGAGTTTTTACCCTTGTTTTATTCCTAATTGTGCTGACATTCTAAGCTCACTGGGGCAAGATTCTAAGACTAAAAACAAGGAGATTGTCTAAATTGAGGAGGCAAAAAGAGTCTTCACACTAGCCTTGACGGCGTTGGCAAATGCCATGGGATCAGCCCAGCCAAATCCCGAAGCTGCGTTACATCTAGTAACAGATGCTTCTGTCCAAGCATTAGGCCGAAGCCTAATACCAAGTCGTTGATTGAGCGTGCAACTGCTTTCCTTTTTGTACGAAAATTAAGTGCATCCGAGACTCGGTATGGAACCTTCTGCTGTGTACTCCTCGATAAAATGTTTTAAGCACATGCTCACTGGAAGAAAATTTCATATCCTTACGGACCACAAATCTCTTTGTGAAGTTTTCACGAACACCTCAGATAAATATTCGCCACGCGAGATCTGCTATCTCGATTATATTTCACATTTCAATACTGAGATACTCCACATAAAGGGTGCAAATAACGAAGTCGCGGATGCCCTGTCCCGCAAGGATTTATCTCCGTCGCCGCAAATGAATACAAAGCTACGACAGAGGCTCAGATAAGTGAACATAAAAACTCAATATAGCATAAGTAGACATCCCCGAAGGACCTCAAAGTTGATGTGACGTGTCTACAAGCAGAGATCGAGCATTAGTACCACTTTCCATGCGGTAAAATGTGTCCGAAGCCGTACACGGTTGGACACGTCTTGGCACATGAGCTTCCAAAAAGCTCATTGCAGACCATTTTGTCTGGCCACTGATTCAGACATTAGTAAGTGGACTAAATCCTGCCCAGTTTATCAAAATAACAAGTTGGACAAATAGACCAATACTCCTATCAACAGATCTGAGTCAGTCCCAGAGAGATTTAATCATATCCACATCGACACTGTGGGTCCCGTTACACGATATCTCCTCACCATTATGGATCGTATCATATGTTAGCCAGAAACCATTACACTTCCGGGCATACAG